TTTATATAAAAAATGGACAAAGTTCTAGGACACTGAAGAGATTAATGTAACCTAATTCATCATATGTCAAACCTGAGAAAAAAATATAATAAATCTATGCGATCAAAGATATATATTTCTATCTCTAATGGAAGAAATGACTTAATACGAAATATTAGCTATGCGTAATATTTTTTCCAAAATATGTATAATTTTTGAAAGTATTAACTGAAATTATTAAAGAAATTAATAACTGTATTATACTTTTGGAAAAATCTATTTCCTTGTAACTTACAAAATTTGGGATTTTGCAATTTCAACAATGAGATGCCCGAAAAGTTTCTTCTTTGAAGCAACGAGATTAAAACGTCGTATAAAGAGTCGAATATAATTTTTTGTAAGTATTAACTGAAATTATTAATGAAATTAATAAATGTACTATACTTTTGGAAAAATCTATTTCCTTGTAACTTACAAGATTTGGAATTTTGCAATTTCGACAATGAGATGCCCGAAAAGTTTCTTCTTTGAAGCAATGAGGTTAAGATGTCATATAAAGAGTCGAAAGCTTGGGAGGGCTTGAAAGGATTGCCAGACGGACTAGCAGGACATTGAGCAAATAGGAGATCAAATCACGAACTGAGGGTTTTTCCTTCAAGACGTTTCTCATCGCCAATATATCACTGAACAGATATACGATATTCGAAAGAACGTTAAAGCGGAACGTTTTAACCCGTTATGAGCATGCTCAATCATAGTCACTAATAATTATGATTAATTGCGATATGATACAGGATATTTGCATTGACGAGTTAATTCTTCGTATTGCCTACATTTTTTCATTACTTTTTCCATCTTAAATGCAACGGCACATAATAAGTAGTATTTTCGGCTGAATATTATTGTACTTAGAGAGAGAAAGTGAGGAAAAAAGATTTTTATATATATTTCCATATAAAGAATGATCTCAAAATTATTAGAAAAAATTTAATAAAATAATTTGGTAAAATAATTAAAGAAAAGATCGATAAACAATCCGCATAGACATAAACATTAAAGTTCATAAATTTCTTTCGTATATATCAATTATGGGTAAATATTTCTTTTAAAATATCATTTTTTTTATAAGTGTTAATTAAAATTATTGATGTAATTAATAATTGGCAGTATATGTATCTTTGGAAGAATTTATTTTCTTGTAATTTACAAGGTTTGAGATTTTGACAAAAATGGGATTCCCGATTGAATTTTAAAAGACTTCTGTCTGCAAAACAAAATTGTAAAAAGGCAAATTACAAAAACAAAATGATGCTCTATCACAATATAATATGGTACAATTAAGAAGCACAGACTTTAGCATTTTTTTCATCATTCACGTCTGCTTACCTCAGGAACGTAGTCGAAGCGTTGCCGGAGGAAAAGCTGAGAAACGGGGTCCGAGACATGCACCGTCCTGAACGTTAAGGACCCGTACAGGTCCTCGATTTCTTCTTTCGATCTCGTGTCCACGCTCTAACACTTCTCGCAACACACACTCTCCCTTTCTCTCTCCTTTCTCTCTCTCTCTCTCTCTCTCTCTCTCTCTCTCTCTCTCTCTCTTTCTCTTCCTCTTGCTTTCTTTATCCCTGGCTGCAGCGACAAGTGGCAGCTTCGACTATCACGTTTGACTATCGGTGTACCAGCTCTTTCTCCTCAGCTCTCTGCGTCACGGTGGCTTTACGGGCGCGATTTACTTGAACGAAACCCGGATGTGGCTGCCGATGTGTCGCGGGCTCATTGATCTCCCGAGACAAACTGGGGGGCACGCGACGATGTGCACGAGGACGTATCCGATGGTGATCCCGAGCGTGGAGCGAAGCGAAGCGACGCCGGTGCTAAACGCTGACTGAACCACTGGCGAGGCAATGGGGGTTGCTCCGTACCGTGTGCTCCGTTTCCCCCTTGCTGCTCTCAACCCTCACGATCGGCCCTCTCGTTCCCTCCACTCATCTTCTCTCCTCTTCCTCCACCGAGCATCCCTCCCACCTTTTTACTACTTCTCTCTCCCTTTCATGCGCGCGTTCTATCGTTCCTCGTCACGCTTCCCCGCGGCGTGTACAACCCTACGCTACGCCGTCATCCTCCGCCTGGTTGTAATAGCGTACACACGCAATACACAGAGAAAAGCACCATCAGCATTGCGCGATCCTGCGCCCTCGTAACTCATAGGAATATCGCAGGAGAGTCCGTTCCCTCCCTCTCTCTCTCTCTCACGCGTAAAAATCATTGGCGAGATTCGTGCGCCCCTTATACAATGATGGGGGATTCTTAATCGGCGTTTCTCACACCGTTGTTTTTACGCCGAAATCACGAACGCGGAATTACGTGGCTTGTCGAAGTTATAAAAGCGTAGGATGATTAAAGCTTTTAACGAGGGGATAATCACTTAATGTAATCGTGGGACCGATTCCTCGAAATTATTATAAAATTCGTATGAAATCCCTATGTATAATCTATAATCCGATAATTGCATATGCAACCACGAGAAATCATTGTATAATATTAAATAAAATCGTTTATTTTACCAAATGACTTCATATGTAGTGAAGAAAATTATTTATAATCAGATAAAATTATATGAAATCAAATGAAATTATATAATCTGTGGGACAATATTTCGGTTGGTTACTCCCTCGGCTTTTAAAATAAAATTTAGAAACAGAAACGAAGACTATTTCGTTTCTATGACCATCTTTTGAGTTCGATTAGATAATTGAAAATACAAGCAAATAGTGAAGTTACATGTGCTATCCTATTTAAAACGTTGTTCCAATCAGAAAGAATTTTAAAAATGTTCTACTAAAAAAGTACTAATTTGCGATATATTATTTCTCTGTCAACGCAGCGATACATTAAAATCTAATATTTTTGCCATGATAGCATATCAACTTTAAATGAAATGGAAATAAAAGTTTTTAAATGAAGAAATAACTGTTGTTAAAGTTGTACGTTCACGTTTCTTAGGATGGGGATATGTTGATATAATAAATATTTTGTTGAGCAGATTAAACGAAGAACATTAAAGAAGATAAACATAAAGAAAATTATGTGATGCAAGATAAAAAGTCTTCGTTTCTACACTTTGTAATCCTCCGACACGACACGCGAAGGATTCACCTCTGTTGCGGAACAGTGAGCAGGAAATTTAATGCTAAAAAATGAGGATAGAATATCGAAGGGACACGAAACAAAGCATAAGTGCGAGTGACTTGGCGTGATAGGACAAGGAAAGTCCTTTCACGAGGCTCCAAAAATAAAACCTATGACAATATAGCGCAAAAATATAAAAGACGTTCGAAAAGCTTTTTCAAAGAACGTACGAATGATTGAAATGTTTTTCAGATTTTTCTAGGGAGCTGTCGTGCGGAATCGTAAAAATCTCTCTCTCTCTCTCTCAAAAATTGTTTCTCACAATACAGCTAACAATAAATACCGTAAAATAAACTTCAATTCTCTCAGTCAGGATAACTTTAATCAAAAAATTTAATATAAAACATGTTTTGAGCAGGCATGTTTAAAATCTTAAAGATGTTTCAAGATGTCTTATGTTTCGAGTTTGCGTCCTATTTGCACATAGAAAAATACATATATTGTATTTAAATATTAATTCTTTGTAGACCGGTAATCTCGAAACCTCCTCTTATTTTATAAACTGCTCGCTCAAATTCGCTAAGACTTGGGGTAAATTAATAATACTCCATTCAAATTCACTATAATTAAGTAAATATGTAGTTAAAGTAGTTATTCATATATATATATATATATATACATGTGTGTGTGTGTGTGTGTAATATACGTATCAAGTTTCCGGTTTCGCTTTATTTGAAACTCATCAGTGCTACGTAAACAGTTAGTAGATGCGGTAGATACCCATTTCCAAATTGACTTTCAAACTTTGATCATGAACCATGTTAACCAAATCCTCCCTTTCTTCATACAATTTACTATCCTTTTAAAAATCGATATTTTGAGGCTACATTCAAACTTGGAGATAATTTTTTCAAATTTGAATTTTAGAATTCTAAGACTAAATATGAATTCAGCGTCCTAAAAACTTTTAGGAAGCAAAATATTCTATAAGTTAAAAAGCTCGAAGGATTAATTACTTGTTTGAACTATCAAAAATTTATATATCCGCAAATCTATTCTAAGTTCATCACAAGTACCTTTATTCAAAATATATTCTGAATCCTAATAAGCTTAATACTCAAGATTATTATAAATCAAACAAATTCGATTAATTTATTATATATAAAGTAATTCCTTTTGTAGAATTTTGCAGTTAAAAAAATAAATTCTTGTTTTGAATACATGATAATGAGTTTTAAAAAATTTGTATTAAGTATCTATATTTTAAGACTATTATCAAGAAAGTATTTTTTGTTAAAAATAACTGTTACTTAAAAGAAAAAAATAAGCTAATTATTTTTTTAATAGTAGAATTTTTTTCTGTGCGTAAATATCATCAAAATTTTGCCAAGAGTCACCCCGATTTTGAACCAAAGTTACCCCATTTTGCGATAATCATAACTGCGTCACGTGATAAATCGTATAAAAATTCTTCGCGAATATGATTGTTACGTATAGCCACGTATAACATACTCGTTTTTAAGATTTTTAAAGATCAAGAGGTCCAATAGTGCTTCGATATTGAGAAATATAAAACGATTGTTGTATCTTCAACCACTATCAAACGTCAATCATTTCATTTTTAGTACATCGTTATGAGGAAATTTTACGATTATTTAGGATCTATAACCTTGATTATATGTTCAATATATTTGTGGAGCGACCGTAGATATTTCAGAAAACGTTACAAAAAATTATATAACGTCTTTAGAAAATTAAAATACATAAAATGTTATCTATGTATATATATCATGTTATATAAATTTTATTCGCAATCCTACAAAGCCGTCGATTTGAAAATAGAGTAAGTAGAAGGAAAGGGGATTGACTTATAAGTATAACGATATTTTACACATTTATTTAAAACATAAATCTACAATGGAAGGATATATAATAACTGTATACCACTCGTATTGTGCTACTGAAATTTATTAAATAAATATTTTTTAATCAAAGACCGAGGTGTAACGGATCTTCTGAACTGCCGGATCATCCGGTCTGTAAACTGAAGTATAAACGCAATTAGTGTTAATTATGAAAGGACGCTTTCAGCACAATTCTACTTTATCGACGGACGTTCACGATTGCATAACAATTGCAAAGCCGAGTAAGTCCGTAAGAAAGTATAATTTTTTTTACTTACTTTTCAGCGTTTTGTAATATTTCGGAGTTAAATCATGCGTTAAGCCATAATACAGTGAAAAGCAGCCCATACTAGTTCCTGCTAAAAAAAAAATTGAACATCCCATTATCACCGGGATCTCTATCCATCCCTTGCGCCAGAAATATTTAACCTTCGTCCCTGAAATGAAACGACGAGTGAATGTCTTACGATAGTGTGGCCTATACGTTTTCTAATAGATTACGTTTTGTGATTCTTACAAGCACTGCTACCACGCAAGAAATCGAAATCCTCAGCAGTCTTCCATCGTTGGACGATTTTCATCGTTGCCGATTCGATCTGGCCAAAGTTCGATTAAAATCAATCGTACTCGCTAATACTCGCGATCGCCAATCCTCACTGACACGTGAAAATCGCAGAATGTCACTGATTTACAAGAAAACAATCGACATCATGATCGAGGTTAGGAAGAACAAATCAGCTGTTACCTCCACTCTGCGCACTGCAGGCGACCAAGGCGACAATGCTCGACGACGAAGATTGTCGATACTATCGAGGCACGTCTTTATCCGTATGACGGACATATGTTTGCAAAATATAATAAATTTTTGTTTTCGTATATTTTGAATACTTCCTAAAAATTCTGTATCGATGGTAAAAACTATCTCAGAATTTTTTACGTAATTTTTTAGAATGTTTTTATGTAAATTTCAGAATTTAAGTATAGGTGTGTGAAAAGTTGTTACAATTAATTAAGTAAACTAAAATTTCTCCACTTTTTCGAAAATTTTTGGGAAAGAAAGAAATTTTCAAAAATAGGAGAAAGAGTTTGCTGACATTTCTTTGAAAATACATTAAAATTTATCTGAAAATTTGCTGGAAGTAATTTTCAACTAAATTGAAAATTGGCTAAAAATTTAATTATTACGATTTTTTGAAAGATTTGCTAAAAATTCTGAAAATTTGCTGAAATTTATCTAATAATACATTGAAATTTATCGCGAGTGGTACGCGACACCACCCCTAAGACGTACGGGGCAGATTCTATTTCTCGTAATTAAAATATCCCATACACAACAGAATAAAAAGAGCAATGTTTTCATTCATGTACGAGATTTTTCATTCATGTTTTAATAAACTAATTCTTTAAAAAAATTGACAAGTTCCTAAAATTGGGCTTCAAGATGAAAGTAAATGCGATGCATTTATTGGTGCATTTTTTGGTCGTTTAGAAAAATTGCAAGAATCTTTTTAGGAACCATCCAGTGTTTAAAAAATATATAATTATTTCGTTAAAAATTACTTTGGAATTTTAGCAAAATTTCAGAAAAATTGTTCCACTATAGCTAGAATTTTAAAATGTCTAAGTTTTCTTATTCTATAATTTCTAAAGAAAAGACTCTGGAAAAAAAGTTGAAAGAAGTTTAAAAAAACTTTTTCGCATAAAATTTTCATGACAAATATACGACATTATGTATCATCATTAAAATAATATACGACAAATTAAAAAATACGAGATTTTTTTATATAAAAATGTTTTTCAGACTAGTGTTATCATCCGGGCGACACGTGCTGCCATCGCGCGGACCGAGCGCGAGTCGCTTCGCGCACGAGGCAGTATGGCCGCCGTCGCGATATCTTTAATTAGTGACAAGTGAATCGTTCCGTGTTTCCGCTGGTCCCGCGGCGAGCGAGGGGAGCGTATCCGGCCGCTGGACGCTCGAAAAAGACAGACGGAGCTCGATGAATCGGTGAGTGACGAAATTCAATTGATTTTACGGCCGCGTGACTGCCGGCAGCCTCGAAGCACCGCGTGCGACCGAGCCACCCCCGAGGGCCCTCAGGCCAAGTTTCCCACACGGCTCTTTCTGCATTATTGTCGAGGACGCGCGGTGTCCCCGTGCGTCAGGATTTGCCAAGTTTTCGCTTGTGATCCGCCCGTCGATTACGAGCGAAATCGACGCGCGATCGTGCGGGACATCGCGCCGCATGCGATAGAATCAAAACCCGGAACGCCGCCGTTCAATTATGTCACTCCACGAATCGCATTACGCGTAAATATTTATACGCGGCCGAGTCCGTTGTGTCTCGCGAGAGAGACGTGCGAGGGAACTCCGATTGGTCTGACGAGAGATAAGAGGGAAAGAAGAATGAAAAAAAAAAGAGAGTTTCCGGCGTGTTTATCGCACCTCCACGATTTCAGCCTCTCGGTGTATAGTCTGAGAGATCGTCGGTTGGAATGTGCATCCCGGTGAATTGGCATCGTGCCGTGCGATGTCGCTACGAGGAATCCGCTGGGCGTAAAAGCCTGCGTTTCTTAAGCTGGAGAATGCAACCGCGTTTTTGCGTATGTTTAATTTAGTGAAAATTTTCTCAGAAATTTTTTACACGAGTTGGAACACTTTTCAGAAATACTGAGAAAGTCTACATCTTTTCTTAGAATTTTTTATACGAATTCTTAAAATTAAAACTTTTAAGATTTCTCATTCCATTATTTCTAAAAAAATACCTTAAACTTTTTCAGATTTTATAGGATTTCACCAAAAATTATAGGATGAGAAATCTTAGAATATTTTAAAATTCACATGTATGACGAACTCTGGAAAGAAAAGATTTATCAAAACAATTTAAAACTTTGATTCAATAAACCTACAGATGTAATCAATTCAGTATATATAGATCAAAAGAAACATGGTAGCTAAGATGGCGCATGCTTTTGCTACGATAATGAAGAAAACTTATTACATTAGCAGTTGTCATTGTAGCAAGGAATATTTGCTGAATTAGCATACTGATATTTGCTTACAGATGTAATTTCTTTGTTAAAACATAAAATCTTTTTAGATGCTGAACTCGTGTAGCAAGCTACAGCTTTACTGAATCACCCAATCTATTTTTTTCCTTGTAGAAAAGTTGTAAATTTTTTCGACACTCCCGAAAAGTGTTCCAATTTGTACAAAAAAATCTGAAAAATTGTTGAAAAAATTATAAAATTATTTATAAAAATTATATTTCTGAAAAATTTTAAAATTTTCATACAAATATTCTGAAAGATTACATGAAAAATTTTCATATATATCTCTCTTTTTTATTTCGCTATTACGTTCGTCCTGCCTATGTCGAGATACACGTAATTGAGAACTACACGTACTGCGTAACAATCGCCAGATTATGTCAGTGAATTTTAAAAACATACATGGCTTATCTCGCAATCGTGTTGCAATTTATAGTGATTTCCGTGATAATGCTGTGTCAGCTATGTATGTGCACTCGCTATTATCTTAATTGTTGACATTTGCGATAAAGGCTGCAGCGAGCGATTGTGACTCACAATCAGTGACATTCTTCATTATCACAAAAATTTCAAAATATGTGATTTTTATCTTGTTATTATAATATTATGTATACTTAACAATTTTTAAACTACTGACAAATGACATTAATCAGTTATTAAGTATTTATTAAATAAGCCGCAAATTATAATTTACATATATTTTATATAATTTTTTGTAATGTTATATAACAAAGAGAGTATCTCGTACTAGTTAACATAAAAACAGATTTTAGTGTATTGAATTGGTTTTCACATATTTTGTGGCTTATAATGTAATGAACAAAAATAAAAGAATAATTTTTGTCTTATTATTAGTATTATAATGTGGTGAATAAAAAATGTTATACACATGGCTCAAATAATGGGTAGTTTTTGAGCTATGATGTATCAAAGCTACTCTGTAATACAAGTCTCTTACACTTTTAATATATTATAGCTCAAAAATTATTCATTATTTGAGCCATATGTATAATATTTTCACTCACTACATTATAATATTGACAATGAGAAAAAAATTATTTTTTTTATTAAATTAATTATCTATTTCACTGAATTAATTTAGTTGTTTTTATTTCTTTCGTTTGAAAATGTTCGTATTTAAGTTAAATATAATATATTTCACATACATACATTCTTCTTCGAAAGAAATAAATAAAAATGAGTGAAGTTGACGCTGTAGAGAATTTATGTTGGAACAACGCGAAAACGCGTGAATTTTGTGATTGTCATTGGGAAATTGTCGCTCGCGGGCATTTATTCCGAAATACCGTGCGATGCTGAAAATGTCACACGAATAAAATTACAAGCGCGATATTTCTGTATTGCAGTATATGTGCCAGAAGTGTTATTTATGCACAATTGTCTTTACATAAAGTCCATGGATTAAAAATAATGCTGTAGGCATGTAAGATTTTATGACGATGAGTAACTCAAGAGTAGTGTTAATTTGGCCACGTAATAATAGTTGTCTATATTATTTTAACATATATATTTTTGTACATCGTACTTCAAAAAAAACCATATATGATATTATAGATAAAAGATATCTTTTTAGAATGTTCCATATGAGAAATTACATGATGTAATTTACACAGAAGTAGAGCTCGAAATCTCTTTTTAAGATGTGGAAGAAGAAATGTAGAAGGAAAAACTTATTCGTTATAACACAAAAATCATATTTACTTTTTTTTCTAATATTTTGCATCGAACGTTTTATTTCGATAAATAATTTTTGTGGAAAGCGATTTCTGAATTGTTTATTGTAAAATGGAAAAATCCTGTAATAATTAATACGCGTATTATCGTATCGCATGACATTTTGTAATTCCCTTGCCGAAAATATTTAACAAACATAAAAGAAGAAAATAGAAATCGATGAAAGGACTGGTAGGTTTTACTAAGCAATAATCTCGAGCATTTCTTGCTGCGCTCGCCGTACAAATCCCACCAGTCCCAAGAGGGAATCCCTTGGTCTCTTCTGGCAGAACTCGCGGTTCTGGAATTCCAGATTTTGTGCCGAAAAGCGCATAGCACGTCTCCCGCGCGAGAAAAAGTTGCGCTCGCGTCCCAAGTCGACACGTGCTCCGTCGAGACCACACACATAGTTCCAAGCAAACGGAAAGACAAAATGTATCTCTTGTGGCGCTTAGATTTAATCTTTCGGTTTGGCATGCGCAAATTTTGGTTTTCGATATTAATATGTGTGCAAAGACTGCAGCTTGTCAAAAAGAAAAATCGAAAAAAATTATTTAACAAAATCTATTTTTTATATTTTTTCTTTCACCAGAAATATAAATAGTACTATTTTTCGCGACACTACGACTTTTTACGTAAGTACGAAAAAATATCTTGTGTTCTCGTGAGCTTGCATTTTTTATTTTTTTAGAAAATATAAGGAAAGAACGATTTTACTGAAATATCTAAAAGTTAGCTAACGTTTTTATTTAGCAGATCTGAAAATAATTTTGTTGAACTATCAAAATAATTATGTAGGACGCTCAAGGTAATTACTACACTCTAAATTTCTTGCAGTGAAATCTCACTTCAAGAGAGTAAAAATACAACCATCCTTGAAAAAAATGAAAATATTTCACTCCTTGAAAAAGAGTAACAATTTTCACTCTTTTTAGAGAAAATTGTTACTTTTTTTCTAAAAGTGAAGGGTGGTTGTATTTTTACTT